GCTGCTGTGCAGGATTCTGATTAACATTGTGTTGAAGGAATCAACAGATATGTCTGTGATACATTACTCAACGTTGCAAAAACACGGTGTAAGTAGAAATTTTTGTGCACAAACACAAATATGCTGATTGGGTCAGTCGCAAATGCAATATATGTGTGTGTGTGTGTGTGTGTGTATATATTTTATTACTACAACAAAATTGCATTTTAAGTTTTTAGTTAACTAAAAAGTATTTTGTAAATATATTATGTATAATAAAATTCTGTCAGTGCACTAGGGCAAATACACTAATATATTAAAGACAGAGTCTATGAACAGGTCTTAATATCTTATTCAGTGTTGCTTCTCAAGTAAATTTATCCCGTTTCAAGAATTGTTAAATATTTCAACAGGAAAACAAGGCAAAATGACTGATTCAAAACTTAAGAAGTCATTTTTTTGCAGTGTAGTTGCTATTTATAGAGGGATAATATATAAATCTGTGAAGTTTAAACCAGAATGGATGCCTAAGTGTTACACTTAAGGTATCATATGAATATTAATAATAATATGAAAAAAGTATAATTTGAATTTTAGTAACTAAATGCATTATTCCAATAATAAAATAATCTTTAACAAGAGGTTTACGTTCAAAGATTAGTATTTTCAGTTACTACTGTTCTGCATTTCTTGCTGCAGGGTACCAGAGTGAAATGAAGAGACAAAACAGAACTAAATAAGCAATTAATATTGCATGTCTCTAGATACTTCCTGGTTGCATGGAAAACTCAAGTGGAGTAGCGCTGGTAAATGTTTTTGGCTTTGATAAAAGGGTGTGGTGCTTTTTCTATTCATTAAGAGGTTTGTGTAACCGCCATGAAGAGAAGATGGGTGTTTGCTCGCTTGATCCGAATGCAAATACACAGTGCACCTGTCACAGGTAAGCAGCAGTGCTTTGTTCTGGCCTAAATTAACATACAATGCATCATCAAGTAGCACTAGCAGCTGAGGTTGATAATAGTGTTCAACCAGGGTCTGAAATGAACACCTGCCAAGTGCCATTTGCAAGTAAAGACGCTAAATTAATATTTATGTGTATGTGACCTCAAGATACAAACCAAAAGTGATGTAGCCGATGTTGTCTCCCACTGTTGCGTCAGTGTCCTTTAGCTCCAGAGGAGGTTCTCTGTGACTGAACAGCACCTGAGGAGCCGTGTGACTGGCCCTCCTGCCCTCCTTAAACTCCTGAACACAGAGAAACACAGGCATCAGTCTGTCCTGTCATCATGATGACTGTAAAAACACCAGTTACCAAACACAGCAGCTGTTCTGGTGGTGGTTTGCACTGCTGACATCATTATGTGCAAGTGAGTTTGTAAAAATAGTCAAATTAGACTAGAAATGCCCTTTATTTATAAAGCATTTCATTTACTGGATTATAAAAAAAAGCTACAATTTCCAGAAAAATGTAATTGCATTATAAAATATTTTAAAATTGAAAACTATGGAAGTCCATATCCTCCATGGAATAAAAAAAAATAGTAATAAAAAAAAAAAAGGTACTTGCAACTTTTTTTTCTCAGAATTGCAAAATATAAACTCAGAATTCTGACTTTCTCACAATTCTGAGTTTACATCTTGCAATTTTTGATATCTCACAATTCAGATTTTTTTTGTTTCTGCCACAGAATAAAAACAAACAAGGTCATTGCAACTTTTTTCTCACAATTCTGAAAAAAAATGACAGAATTGAGA